AAGCAGGAAAATAGTAACAAGAATACACAATTTAGTAATCTTTGTAAAGCTGTCTGATGGAGCACTGGTTCCCGTATGCCCGAGGAAAGCTCTGGCGGGTTTTCATTGGTGCGCAGTGTGGCAAAATGCAGAATAACAAACTGTGATGGAGCTTTCACATGATATATTAAAAAAAACATGCAGGATATATAATATTACATGCCATACAATATATATGGTAAGTTATACTTGTTTTATTTATTCTGAGATTGTGTCCTGCCTCATCTTATTTCATGAATAGTCAGTCCTCTCTTTTAATAGCAGGTTACATATTGCTTTTTCGGGGTCCTAATTTGGTAAAATAAAAAGCTGTCTTTCTGTGTTGCCCTCCCACTTTTGAAATTTTCCTGGTCTCAGAAATGCAAAAATTCTGGAACCCGCCAAAACAAAGGGGTGTGTCCTTGCCTTGTTCCCCATCTGCCTCAGCATGACAGACTTTCCCCCATGACTACATAACGAGTCACCCAAACATTCTTAAAGTACAAGCCCAAGGCAACAAAGTTCCCCCGCCTAAACATATGAGTTGCCTTTCAAGTCCAACCTCCAAATATCAACTGAAAATGTTTCTTCTGAGGCCCTTCCTCTGTCTGTCCAGCGTGGAGAGAGAATGCTTCCTGAAGGGCGTTGCTGAGATGACATCTCCCATATGAGACAAAAACGAGGCAGTGGGGCTCCCACGTCTGCACTGCCCCCATCTAGAGCTAAGCCAAAGGCCAGCTTCCCTTCCACTATACCTCACAGTGGTACTGTACGTATCTGGTCATGCGTGTCATCAGAGGGAGCTTCATCATGTTACCAAATGTGCGGCCACCAGACTTCTGTGCCAAATGAAGTCCTTGACAGAATCTAGTTATTTAGCCATTTTAATTCATAAGTTCCAACTTCTAATACGTATCACTCAATACCAACTGTATAACCCAGCCAAGTTGGGTTAACTAATACTTAACTCAGTAGGTTCTGCTTAACCAGCTCTTGGTCACTTGCAACAATAAGGGCTATGAATAGGCATGCTGTTCAACTTTCATTTCTAAGGATCAAAGAAATGACTGACGTCCAAAGGAGATCCTGATGGGCAACCAGGGGACCACAGACTATTCCTTTAAGAATCAGAACTCTAGGAGCCCTAAGCTGCAAATGAACAAGCCAAGCCTCTGGACCAAAAGGTTGGCTTGATAGATTCTGTCTGGGTTCATTTTCTGGGCTTTGTGACTCCTGAGTTTTTACTTCAGCTATTTTTTTTTTTAACATGTTCCAGCTGTGCTGAGAGATCTTAAGAGCCTTCCACCTATAGCTGAATTAGGAATATTGAGAGATATCATAGGAGAAGCCTTGAGTCTGCATCTGGATGTGGAGTGAGGAAAGAGATGGAGCAGAGGCTGTGCTGTGATACGTCTTCCCAAGGACAGTGGCTTCTTAGGAACAGAGGAAAAGTGAGAGAAGAGATGGAGGATCTCCCAATGGAAAGTTCTTCCTCTTGGCCAATTTTAGAGAACCAGGGTGCTATTTTACTCAAGATACCATGAAAAGCTGTTAGGTAATCATTAAAGATAAGGACAGAAAAGCCGTCTTTGAAATTGGTCCGTGAAGCTTCTTGGTGGTTTTAGCCGAAGCAATTGTAGTGGGGCGGCAGGGGTGGGAGCCATTCTAGAGCTTCTTAAAGGATGAATTCAATGAAAATGTGGAAGTAGCCTTGGCAGACCAATCTCGGGAAGCTGAGCTCTGAAAATGTGTATGGACGTGGGGCAGTAGATGAAGAGGTGAGGGGGGAGGAAATGAGGCCATGGGAGATAAGATGGCAGGTTGGTATTATGGGAAAATTCACTCAGGAAGAGAAAGACTGATGATACAAGAGAGACAGAGAAGGGCCAGGTGAGCAAAAATCTCAACAAAGAGAGAGGAGATGAGCTCAGAAGCATATACAGAGGCACCAACCTTTGAAAGGACGAGTATGCACTTCATTTTAACAGTAAGTAAGGGGAGGATGGGCACTGCTGCAGATGGATTGGATAACCCATTTTGATCATGGGGGAAAAAAGCCAGAGATCTGTATCTTGTGGTTTCTACTTACATAAAAATACTAGGTTATGAGCTGAAAAGAGAGGGGGGGAAGTAAAAGTAGGATAGATCCTTAAATAGTGCTTATTATTCTTTTTACTGCAGAATTGTTGAACAGTAAGTATTAAGAAGTCATTGAGGTCTGATATCTTGAGTTTTTCCCCTGCAGCTATGTCATGCTCCTTCACGCGCAGATATGGAAAAGGCAAGAAAAATTGAAACAGGGCTGGTAGTTTACAAACTTCATGTGACAGACAGAGAGAGGACAAGAGTGTTGGCACATTTGCAAGGGAGAACGAATCTAGCCAAGAAGCAATGGGAAGTGATGGCAGACATGTCAGTTCAGTCGCTCAGTCATATCCGACGCTTTGCCACCCCATGAACCACAGCACACCAGGTCTCCCTGTCCATCACTGACTGCTGGAGTTTACTCAAACTCATGTCCATTGAGTTGGTGATGCCATCCAGCCATCTCATCCTCTGTCATCCCCTTCTCCTCCTGCCTTCAATCTTTCCCGGCATCAGAGTCTTTTCCAGTGAATCAGCCCTCCACATCAGGTGGCCAAAGTTTTGGAGTTTCAGCTTCAGTATCAGTCCTTCCAATGTATATTCAGGATTGCCTTCCTTTAGGATGGACTGGTTGGATCTNAAAACCAGCTTGAACATCTGGAAGTTCACAGTTCACGTACTGTTGAAGCCTGGCTTGGAGAATTTTGAGCATTATTTTTCTAGTGTGTGAGATGAGTGCGATTGTGTGGTAGTTTGAACATTTCTTGACATTGCCTTTCTTTGGGATTGGAATGAAAACTGCCCTTTTCCAGTCCTGTGGCCACTGCTGACTTTTCCAAATTTGCTGGCATATTGAGTGCAACACTTTCACAGCATCATCTTTTAGGATTTGAAATAGCTCAACTGGAATTCCATCACCTCCACTAGCTTTGTTTGTAGTGATGCTTTCTAAGGCCCACTTGACTTCACACTCCAGAATGTCTGGCTCTAGGTGAGTGATTATACCATCATGGTAATCTCGGTTATGAAGATCTTTCATGTACAGTTCTTCTGTGTATTCTTGCCACCTCTTCTTAATATATTTTGCTTCTCTTAGCTCCATACAATTTCTGTCTTTTATTGTGCCCATCTTTGCATGAAATGTCCCCTGATATCTCTAATTTTCTTGAAGAAATCTCTAATCTTTCCCATTCTATTGTTTTCCTCTGTTTCTTTGCATTGATCACTGAGGAAGGCTTTCCTGTCTCTCCTTGCTATTCTTTGGAACTCTACATTCAAATGGGTGTCTCTTTCCTTTTCTCCTTTCCCTTTATCTTCTCTTTTTTCTCAGCTATTTGAAAGGTTCCCTCAGACAACCATTTTCCTTTTTGCATTTCTTTTTCTTGGAGATGATCTTGATCACTGGGCCTCTTGTAGAATGTCAAGAACCTCCACCCATAGTTCTTCAGGAACTCTGCTTATCAGATCTAATCCCTTGAGTCTATTTGTCACTTCCACTGTATAATTGCAGGTAGCAGACATAAGCTCAAGGATTTTGAGTTAGGCAATGAGATCAATGGATTGAATGTCATGGAGTAGAAAATACCATAATGATGTGATCTTGTGGTCCAAGAAAGGGAGATATGCATCTGAGATTCTACAGTGGGTGGAAAGAACAAGCTCACTTCAAAAAGAAGGAGAGGACTTGAAAAGCCAGGTTCCCAAGAATGATGAAAAGAGTATATAAGGAAATGAAGATCCTGAAGCTACAATTGAGTTTAATGAAAGAAGAGAAGTGGCTAGGAGGAAGTCTGCTAACATCAGTCATGAGAAGGAGATGATGGTCTGTTTTCAAGAACTGAGCCTCAAAGCTCCAGCGGGTGCCGAGGAGGGAGGGGACCCCTAGTCTAAAAGCAGCCAGGTGCAATGGAGGACAATTCCATCTCTTTCTGGTCCTGAGAAGGGGGAAGAAACTCCTCCAAGATAGAGGACTGCTGAGGAGTCAGGCCTTCAGAGGACAGTCCGAGGTCGGTCCAAGTGGTGAAGAGGACATTTATCAGAGAGTTTGCGTCTCTTGGGTGGTTTCCCTCCCGTGGGGAGTGTCAGGACTTGAAAGTGAGAGGAGAATAGAGGGTGGAGACAGAGGTCCAGTGATGCAACTTCAAAGAAGAGGGAAGAAGGGGACAGTTCCCAGGTTCTGCTTTTTCTATGAGCGTCGCCACAATTACAAGCATGATTGAGTAGGCGCTGTGGGGGAGGTGTGCCACGGATGAGGTGTGCAGTTTGCATGCATCATCTCACTGGAACTTCATAGCAATTTATGAGCAAGTTCTCCCTTTGCTCATTTTACAAAATACTCATCTTTTGTAAGACTTGGATCTTTAAGACTTGGATAGGCCATGTAACTTGCCCCCAAACACACGGCTTTTAAAAGACAGAGCCTAACCACTCTTCTACATTGTCTAACGTTTAGTGACAGATGCCTTCCTGAAGAAGCTGATCATCATTTGAATTTTTGTTATTCAAGCCGCAGTTGTAATGCACTATTTCTGCGAATACTCTTTATGAATCCTTTGTCAATGCAAAAATAACTTCCCCAAATGGATGCCTCCTCGGTAATTGGTTTGACCAATCCCAATTTTCTTGAAGCAAGATAATTTTTATTAAATGGTGTAGTTACATAGTATTCTAGATCAGAAATGATCAAAGCATTTTACAGACAATAAATGGTCTCTCTGATTTAAAAAAAAAAAAATGACCCAATAAGGTCAGTGGCAAAAGCAAGAATTATACCAAGGCATTATGATTCTACTCACTATAAAACATTGCAATTCCTTACTCATTAGCAGAGCTTTATTTTCCATGGGATGTATTTCAAATGAGGATGTGCTATAAGTAGAAAACAATACATACGGGTTCATTAGTCTTGCTCTTTTAAAGATAAATGCTGTATGTGGGATAAATGCTGTGAGCAAGAAATTATAAGCAGGTTCCCATATGCTAGATATCTATTTCCACAGCTCCTATCATCATGGTTTCTGGGCACTTTGACAGATAGATGAGGCTAATTCAGGCAACGCAGTAGATGCAGAAGAGTAGGTGAAAATCCTCTTTCTCCTTAGCTCCCTGCTTTGAAAAACAATAATTCATCAGAAAGTGAAAGAAGAAAAGATCTTCTGGAATGGAAACCTAAGAGAAAAGCCACACAGAACAGGCAAGTTTCAATCTTTTGGTTTCAAGTAATAATGGTGACTGCACTACCCTTTGATCAAGATGTTTGGGAATCTATACCAAGTAAATAATTCTAAGTGGGGAAAATGTTATATGTTCATCATCATAACCTTAGATAAGGAAAAATTCAAAAGTAAACAAGAAACCGAAGTGTTCAAAAGTAGACATCTTCAAGTAATTCATAATGTCAATTTCTCTGAATAGTATGTAACTTTTAAAATCACATTTATAAAAACTGTAAAACTATTTGGGAAAATCCTTTTAGGACAAAAGCAGTTATCTGTTCAATGTGTTAAGTGTTAAAAAATATGATTACAAGTATGAAAAAGAAGGGCTTTCCCAGGTGGCTCAGGGGTGAAAAATCTTCCTGCCAATGCAGGAGGTGCAGGTTCAACCCCTGGGTAGGAAAGATCCCCTGGAGAAGAAAATGGCAACTCACTCTAGTATTCTAAAGGGCTTCCCTGGCGGCTCAGAGGTAAAGAATCAGCCTGCAATGTGGGAGATCTGGGTTTGATCCCTGGGTCTGGACAATCTCCTGGAGAAAGAAATGACAACCCACTCCAGTATTCTTACCCAGAAAATTCCATGGACAGAGGAGACTGTTGGGATACAGCCCACAGGGTTACAAAAGTGTTGGACATAACTTAGTGACTAAACAACAACGAAAAGCACAAAGCATAGAAGAAAGGTTGGATTTAAGCGTTGAGACAATAAGCCATTTCTTTTGGTTCTTTTAACTTTTCTGTATTTTTCAAATTCCTATTAAATAAAATGTCATATGTTAAAATATAAATTATAATGTCATGATCTGGAGGTTTAACAGTTGGAATTTCTACCAATGATTATCACATCATAAAAATTAGTCAATGTGTGTTTCCACTAAGTATATTATTATTATTGGCTAACTCTATGGTATTCTTTTTACCATCTTTGAGCAAATGCTTTTGATTTTACATACCTTAAAGCACAATAAAGTATGGACAGTTGATGCATTTTGACAAGCACATACACCCATATAACCACACCACAGTCAAGATATAGATCATTTCCATCACTACTCCAAAAAGCTCTCTCGTGCATATTCTCAGACACATCCTTTCTTACTCCAAGAAGCAACCACTGACTGGTTTTCTATCACTATGGCTTAATTCCTGAATTTCACATAAATGTTTGTATTTTTTTGTTTCTGTCTCTTTGGGCTCTGCATAATGTTTCAAGGTTAATCCATCCTGCTGCATGTATCAATAGTAACTCCTTTTTATTGCTGTGTATACATAAACCACATGTATGTATATACCACAACTTTTTATCCATTCACCCTTTGGTGGTCATTTGAGTTGTTTCAATTTAGGGATACTGTAGACATTTGTGTTCAGATCTTTCTATGAACATATTTTCATTTCTCTTGGATAAATATCCACCAGGAATTCCTGGGCTGTAGTAAGGGTATTCCTGGTAAGGGTATGTGTAATTTCATAAAAGTTAAACCAATCTTCCATGTGGTTTTACTTGTAAATCTTCTAGAAGACAATCTCTTCAATCTTAGAATGTGCAAAAAATACGAGATAAGACACAGAAAGCACAAAACATAAAATAGAGTTGCTTATATGTAAGACTTCATCAAAATTAAAATTTTCTGCTCTTCTAAAGGCGGCACTAAGGAAATGAAAAGGCAAGCAACAGACTGGGAGACAATGTTTACAATACATATATGTGAGAAGGGACTTGCATCGGAATGTATAAATAACTCACAACGCAATGATAGGAACTCAAACACCCAATGAAAACATGGGCAAGAGATTTGAACAGACATTTCTATAAAGAAGATAAACAGATGGCAAAAAAAAAAGCACATGAATAAATGTTCGATATCATTAGTCATCAGGGAAATGCAAATTAAAGCCATGATAAGATGCCATTCTACTTCTACCAGAACGTCTAAAATTACAAAGACTGACAATACCAAATGTTGGTCAGGGTGTGGAGCACCTGGAACTCTCACACACTGTGTTTCCTGCTGGTATGATTCATCTCACATTGGCATCTTAAATAAGTGGCAGATCCATCCCTTGAGTCAGGCCTGAGATTTAATCAATGTTCATATTTGTTCTCTATCTCATTATGTCCTCAGATTTTGCTAATTTCCATGGTGGGCTTACTGTACACATGTCACTAAATATCAAATACTCTTTACATCAGAAAAGAAATAATTAATATTGGCCTAATAATTTATTTTGGTATATCACTTCTGAAACACCACCTCTTACATTTAACATCATATTCAAACTTTACTCTATTTGAATACTCATACATTATTTTAGAGATCATACTGCCTCTCCTTCTTACATGTAAATCTTGCAATGTCTTTGGTCAAAGTGAAAGTGAGTGAGTGAAAGTCGCTCAGTCGTGTTCAACTCTTTGCGACTCCATGAACTACACAGTCCATGGAATTCTCCAGGCAAGAATACTGGAGTGGGTAGCCCTTCCCTTCTCCAGGGGATCTTCCCAACCCAGGGAAGAATCCTGGTCTTCCGAACCCAGGTGTCCCACGTTGCAGGCAGATTCTTTACCAGCTGAGGCACAGGGGAAGCCCCTTTCGTCAAAAGGAATACAAAGTCAGGCCAGAAACAATCAGCAAATTCTTCAGTTATCTTTAAGTTTGTGTGTCAGTTTCAAAAGTCAAATTCCACTTTAACCGAAGTCAAGCTTGATGGGGACAGGGAAGGTTAGCATGTTGCCGTCCATGGGGATGCAAAGAATCAGACACTACTTAGTGGTTGAAGAACAGCAAGCTTTATGGCGTCAATTAGAGCATTAACTGTGCCAAAGTACGGAGTTTGAACCATCAGACTGAGAAAATCCAAAGATGGTTTCATGTACTGTAGACTTTCGATTTCCTATCATCTTTTCACCGTCTATAATAAAACAGTTCTGTTGTCTTCCTGAAGTGAACGTAGATCACTCTTGAATTTTACTAATCAACCTTCTCTGCATCACTCTTGAATTTTACTAATCAACCTTCTCTGCAAGTCCTAGTTGGTTTTCTTTGTGTTATTCTGGCTTTCCAAACCCCCAATCATATATCTTAGAGGCATTTGGAAGGCAAACAATTTGAGATATATTGGTTCTTTGCCAAAATAATGGAATTTCCACATATTTTGATGATTTGTGGATATAATGGAACGGATATTTTATATCCAATCTTTCCAAGACCCCAGATCCTACATTTACTGGAGCTATAGCCACATCAAACATTCTCATCACACCAGGGCAGAAATCTGTCCTCATGATACACTAGTGAGACTTCCAAGTTTAGATATCACAAGTATCTGATGGTTTTATAAATTTTCTGTGGATTCTGCAGTCCGTGACTTGCCCTTTTTCAGTACCACTGCTGATAAGTTTTACTTCATTATTCGTTTCTTCCTAAATTTCTTGAAAATATTGACACATACAGATTAAATCAGCTGGCAAGATTGCTCATGATACAGCCTGTACCTTCTTAGAGAAACATATTTAATGAAATAAGAAAAACTAATAGCGCTCTGCAGAAAAAGTAAAAAAAAAAAAAAAGAAGAAGAAGAAAATGCAAGATCAAAACTCCAGCTAAACTCTTTAAGCCATTATGAGTGGCCTCTAAACCACAAACAATGCTGAAGTTCTGGGGAAAACTTTGCTTCCCTGGCACTCACAATGCACATTAACTTGGAAGCAGAACTCTGCCAAAAATGTAAACCAGTCACTGTTTATTAATGTGAAAAGAAAATTAGCACATAAGCAAAAGGAAAAACACATCTCTGGTGTCAACCTTTCTGTGAACTTCTCTGTGGTGATTACGGTTGCATTTGCTGGTTCCTGCAGAGGTGTGATGGACCGAGGGAAACGCACCCCTGGCGTGAGTGGTGCAGCTGTCTGTGGTTGCACGCTACAACTGTGTCAGTACAACTGTGTTCACTGTTCGTGGGTTCTGATTTACAGAGCCTCTTAAAGTCACTGCAGGAAGAGGAAGATTTGCAAAGGCCCCCAGTTCTGGCTGCACGTAAACTCACTAGAGTGTTTGCAAAAACAAGCAAACATCCCTCCAACGGCTGGCTCCTTCACCAAGCTCAGTAAGTAAGAACCTCTGAACATGAGCACTGGAGAACAATCAGGACTCCATAATAAGCCCTGGGGATGTACCGTTAGATCTGAAAAACTCTGTATTAAAATGGACTTTAGCAACTGGTCCAACCCAGTCTCCTAAAATGACAGGAGTCGTAGCGACAGGACTGAAGGTCCAAGGAGTTATTTCCAGTTTCTCAAAAGGTCCAGGAGAAAACATACATGCAACTTCCAACATCCAAGGTAAGGAAGAGTTGTTTGTTTTTTTGTTTGTTTATTGGTGTTTTGCCTATAATGATATTGGCTTAATATTGTGTCATGAAAGATAGGTTGATTGATTTGAGGAATAGAAAATAGGCTCCATTTGGGAAAAACTAAAAAGAGAATCTCTTGTAGATAGCTGTAGCTTTTGCATGTACAGCATTCATTCTCCTTTTGAAAACAGTGCTCTAATTTTGAGGGGAAAGATTCCTCCCCTAGAGTCAGTCTGAGTCTAGCTGAGCTTTTGAGATATATTGGTTCTTTGCCAAAATAATGGAATTTCCACATATTTTGATGATTTGTGGATATAATGGAACGGATATTTTATATCCAATCTTTCCAAGACCCCAGATCCTACATTTACTGGAGCTATAGCCACATCAAACATTCTCATCACACCAGGGCAGAAATCTGTCCTCATGATACACTAGTGAGACTTCCAAGTTTAGATATCACAAGTATCTGATGGTTTTATAAATTTTCTGTGGATTCTGCAGTCCGTGACTTGCCCTTTTTCAGTACCACTGCTGATAAGT